GAACTAATGCTTAGTTTTGATTAGTTTTTGGTAAAAATTACCTAATTACTAATTACCTAATTTGCATAATGATTAGTCAATTTTCGGTTTTTCCACTGATATCTCAAGTACTAATCATAACATTTCAATAAAACTTGGTACATAGATGTCATATGACACTGCACAGACCTGATAGTTTTTAGGGTAATATCAATACATATTAATTACCTAATTTTCATAATTAATTAATTTTCAGCTATTTCAAGTAGTACTAATGATCACATTTTAATGAAACCTGGTACATAGTTACTTGAGGGCCGTGCAGAGACCTTATTAGTTTTGGGATAAATATTTATGCATATTAATCGCCTTATTAGCATAATTAGTTAACTTTCAGCTTTTCACCTGATATCTCAAGTACTAATCATCACATTTCAATGAGACTTGCGACATAGATCTTCTAGGACTATGCAGAGACCTGATTAATTTTGGGGTGAATAATTGCGCATATTAATTACCTAATTTGCATAATTAGTTAATTTTTTGCTGTTCCATGGCTGTTGCACCGATGTCTAAAGAGACACTCATTGGATTTTAATGACGCTTTTAAAGAGTACTCATCACATTTGAATAACATTTGGCACATAAATGCTCTAGGACAATAGACAGCCTGATTAATTTTGGGTAAAAATCTGTTCATATTATTTCTCTAATTAGCTTAATAATTAATATTTTTTTTTGGTTCTAATCGCATTTCAATGAAACTTGGTACATAGATATTACATCACGCAGTCTTTTTACTTTTACATTGAGTAGACCTTATTAGTTTTACACTTAAATCTGTTCATATTAGTTACCTTATTTGCATAAGCTTTCCCATCAATATCTCAAGTTCAAGTAATTTTGAATTAATTTCAATGTGTTTGAGTGTTAATTTTTGGATACTGATACATCTCAATTTTGTTTGTAGGTTTAATGATGTGAGTGTTCCGATCCGAGTAGAGTGTGTCAAATATGCTCAGTATTTTATTTTAAATCATCAACAATTGGTTACTGATATCACAGGTAAGTTCTTCCATTATTACCTGATGTCATGGGTAAGCCCTTCCATCATTACCTGATATCATGGGTAAGTCCTTCCATCATTACCTGATATCATGGGTAAGCCCTTCCATCATTACCTGATATCATGG